CTGCTGATTTTCAACCTTTTTTTCCTTTTATCATACTTTAGGTTTTGGGGTACATGTGCAGATCATGCAGGGTTGTTGCATAGGTATATACATGGTAAGGTGGTTTGTTGCCTCCATCCCCCCGTCACGTATATCTGGCCTTTCTCCCCATGTTATCCCTCCCAACCTCCTTACTCCACACTATCCCTCCCCATCCCCCACAACAGACTCCAGTGTGTGATGCTCCCCTCCCTGTGTCCATGTGTTCTCATTGTTCAGCACCTGCCTATGAGTGAGAACATACAGTGTTTGATTTTCTGTTCTTATGTCAGTTTGCTGAGAATGATGGTTTCCAGATTCATCCATATCCCTACAAAGGACATGAACTCATCAGTTTTTATGGCTACATAGTATTCCATGGTGTATACGTGACACATTTTCCTTGTCCAGTCTATCATCGATGGGCATTTGTGTTGGTTCCAAGTCTTTGCTATTGTAAACAGTGCCACAGTGAACATACGTGTGCATGTGTCTTTATAATAGAATGATTTATAATCCTTTAGGTATATACCCAGTAATAGGATTCCTGGGTCAAATGGAATTTCTATTTCTAGATCCTTGAGGAATCACCACACTGTCTTCCACAATATTTGAACTTACACTCCCACCAACAGTGTACAAGTGCTCCTATTTTTCCACATCCTCTCCAGCATCTGTTGTCTCCCAATTTTTTAATGATCACCATTCTAACTGGCATGAGATTGTATCTCAGTGTGATTTTGATTTGTATTTCTCTAATGATCAGTGATGATGAGCATTTTCTCATATGTTTGTTGGCCTCATATATGTCTTCTTTTGAAATGTATCTGTTCATATCCTTTGCCCACTTTTGAATGGGTTTGGTTTTTTTCTTGTAAATCTGTTTTAGTTCTTTGTAGATTCTGGATATTAGCCCTTTGTCAGATGGGTAGATTGCAAAAAATTTTTTCGTAGTCTATTGGTTGCCGGTTCACTCTAATGACTGTTTCTTTTGCTGTGCAGAAGCTCTGGAGTTTAATTAGGTCCCATTTGTCTATTTTTACTTTTGATGTCAGTGCTTTTGGTGTTTTGGTCATAAAGTCCTTGCCTACACCTATATCCTGAATGGTTTTGCCTAGATTTTCTTCTAGGGTTTTTATGGTGTTCGGTCTTATGGTTAAGTCTTTAATCCATCTGGAGTTAATTTTAGTGTAAGGTATCAGGAAGGGGTTCAGTTTCTGCTTTCTGCACATGGCTAGCCAGTTTTCCCAACACCACTTGTTAATCAGGGAATTCTTTCCCCATTGCTTGTTGTTGTCATGTTTGTCAAAGATCCAATGGTTGTAGATGTGTGGCGTTGCCTCCGAGGCCTCTGTTCTGTTCCATTGGTCTATATCTCTGTTTTGGTACCAGTAACATGATGTTTTTTATTACTGTAGCCTTGCAGCATAGTTTGAAGTCAGGTAATGTGATGCCTCCGGCATTGTTCTTTTTGCTTAGGATTGTCTTGGCTACGCGGGCTCTCTTTTGATTCCATATGAAGTTTGAAGTGGTTTTTTCCAGTTCTGTGAAGAAGGTCATTGGTAACTTGATGGGGATAGTATTGAATCTATAAATTACTTTGGGCAGTATGGCCATTTTCATTATATTGATTCTTCCTAACCATGAACATGGAATGTTTTTCCATCTGTTTGTGTCCTCTCTTATTTCCTTGAGCAGTGATTTGTAGTTCTCCTTGAAGAAGTCCTTTACATCCTTTGTTAGTTGTATTTCTAGGTGTCTTATTCTCTTCGTAGCAATTGTGAATGGGAGTTCACTCTTGATTTGACTTTCTGTTAGTCTGTTATGGCCTTGCATGAGCAGCGGGGGGCTGATCAATGGGTTTGGAGGGAGCATAAGGCTGGTCCATGGGGCTGCGGCTGGAGCCCTCTCCTGGAGACCGCTCCATTGTGCCACCTCTGGGAGGATCCACCCAAGCCAGGGACCAGCTGGAGATATCCTCAATTTCCAACCATTTTTAAGCTACATAAATGGCAATTTCATGTGCTTCCACCAAATGGAATTAGAAGTCTCTAAATACTCTGGGCTTCAGCTTTATTATTTCTAAAAGTAAGGATGATAACTTGAGAATTACAGAATATAGTTTCTGACACGAAGGTACTACACATTATTAGCAATAGTAGTATTGTTGCCACTAGTTGTAAGTACCATATAAACACATGGCAGATGAGGTGTTGAAACCTCCCACTGTCAATCCCCCAGCAAATGTACTAGATGACACCAGTACTGTACAATGGGAATGGGGACAAAATAAGTCAATGCAGCAAAATCCAAAGTTATGAGATACTCACTTTTAACCACTATATACTTAAAAATATAAATTTCACCAAGCAGTTTATATGAAGACTTTCAGGTAAATATGAGGATTCACTTATTAAAGCAAAGGCATTTGCATAACTAGGCAAACAGATATATGTCCAGATTCTAAAACCAAAATTGATTGCTGAACACCCGCCCTCAATAAATGCCCTGTTAAAAATAAGTTACTGTGCAGTTGCACTAACATCAAATGGTTAGATTTTTAACAGCAAATGGCTTTTCTAACAAACATGTTCCTTCACCATCTTCAAAAGTTCTATTTGGGGAAAGTGGGGGGCAGTGCAGTGTAGTAGTTAAATTTACAAAGCAACATAAAGTAAAAATGCAGCCCAAACGCATCTATTACATGAACATGGGATCCTTTCCTTTGAGGGAGGAACAGCCACACATGGCAGCATTAGAGGTGTCAGCAGGGAACGAGCCAGGTCCATTAGTCAGTTTATTAAAAATAAATGGGAAGCAAGTTCAATGGAGCAAAAAGGTTTCTGCTCTGCAGAGTTGATGGAGAGGAGTGTGATTGGTTTCTTAAGGGACAGGCACAGGGGCAATGGGTAATTTCTCCTCCCCTCACAGAACGTGCCTGTTTATCAGAGATGATCAACACCTTAGATTACACATTATGCAAATGACTATGGCAGTTTGGCACCTAATGCAGTTTCCCTGCCAGAGTTTAGATTCACTCCCACTGTGGTTTGGGAAAAGTGAAAATAAACGTGTCCCCCTTCCCTCCTTGGCTTCTTTGTCCTTGAAATATAGATTCCTCCAAGCCCACAGCTCAGAGGCTTAGTTATATGGCAGATGGCAGTATCTCCTGCAGAGGTTATGAATATGAAACTCACAGGCTAGGAAATTAATTTAACAAAAACAAAAATAGAGGTACTAGCCGTTATTGCAGGTCATTCAGTAAGTGTCTCAGGGAAATTGAATTCCTTAAGATTCAGAAAGATTCCAAAGATGTTTCAGTGATAACGAATCAGATGAAAATCACTCCCCAAGGTAGCTGTTTCCTGATTTGCTCATTGAAAAGTGACACTGAGCAATAACAGAAAAACTATGCATGATGTAAATTCTTTTTTCCCCATTGTTGAAATGGGCGTGACTTAACCTGGAGAAAGGAAAACTGAAAGTTACCTATCTATCTAAATGAAAGTACTATAACAAAGTAATTGATTGGATCAAATCCCAAAATAAAACTGGAAGATACATGCTAAAACTATACAAATAGCTAGTCTATCCATGAAAAAAAAATGACATCTTAAGTAAATATGATCAGATCCTAATACAAATACCCAAAGGAAATATTGGAAACGCCTGTTGTAATTCCTAGGATACATCTCTATCTAAGGTGCCATTTACCCCTTGAGTAAATAATTGTCCTAAATTGTCTCTAAGACTAATTCCAACACTGAAATTTTGGGCATAAGAATAAAATCAGAATTTTTGACCAAAAACAAGCTCATGTTGGACTTCTATATCAGTGAGGAGTAGAATTCTATTGCAGAGTAGATTATTATCTAAAAAGAGAACTTTGCTGCATAAAATAGGGTGTGTTGGTCTCCATTTCAAGAACTGTCTTTTACAAAGGGCAGAGCTCAAGAATAAACAAAATGAGATCAGAGCGGTGGGGTTCCTGTGGGTCATCATATCTTTATACTCAGACTAAACAGTGCCTCCCCTTTGTATCATGAAGACTGGGTACATGTCACAATCTTCTGTATAAACATCTGCGCCCACAGTAGAAAATTTAAGCTTGAAGTTAATAAATAGAACACAAATGAAGCCTAGGCTTTTACTTATAAAAACCAGCAGTGTCTGAATAATGGTTTCCTTAGTGTGCATCCTTCGTAAGGTCGTAAAATGAGAAGATGGAGAAAGATCGGCTTATCCTGGCTTCTCCGTCCTTGAAAGCCAGTGTGGTCTCTTTTCCAGAAGATGACAAGTCTCCTAATAAAGACTTCAGCTCTAGGCTAGATTCTACTGGTTCTTTTACTTTGGTTACAAATGGTTAGACTTTCTACAAATGTTCCCCCCCATAAGATATAGTAATAAAGTTTCTAGGCTGGGCATGGTGGCTCACACCTGTAATCCAGCCCTTTGGGAGGCCGAGGCAGGTGGATTACCTGAGGTCAGGAGTTTGAGACCAGCCTGGCAAATGTGACAAAACCCCATCTCCACTAAAAACACAAAAATTAGCTGGGTGCAGTGGCACACACCTGTAATCCCAGCTACTCAGGAGGCTGAGATAGAAGAATTGCTTGAACCCAGGAGGTGGAGGTTGCAGTGCGCAGAGATCGCAACACTGCATTCTAGGCTGGGCGACAGAGCAAAACTCCATCTCAAAAAAAAAAAAAGTTTCTACACTTGTTTCACTCATAAATATGTTGAGATCCTCTGATACAAGCACTGTGCTTGAGGAGAGGACTGACATTTTTATGCAAGCTAAGAAATTCTGCCTCTATCTTACATTTTGTCATTAATTTCACTGAGAATGACAGCTTAATAGACATGCCTGTGTGATAGTCATAACCTCCTTGAAAAGCTTTTTTGAAACGCCATGCAAGAACAATCTCTTGCCCCATGGCGTTAGAGCACAATACAGGTCAGCCCAACATGCTCAGCCTTACCGTAAACAGGAAGGTTGATTTTTCCGGGTTCCTTCATATCTGGCATTTAATCGTTGTGACCACATCAGGGTCTAAATGGAGACCCAATATTTGGGTTGGTGCCTTTCTATGCCTTTGGGCCAAGAAAGACAATGGGATTAAACCTACTATTTCACATATTCTCCAGAGATACTGAGATTATATGGATTCTCTTTCACATTCTCCAATTAGCAAACCTAGCTGTAATGATGTGGCCACACTTGCCTGAGCAGCATCTGTGAAATACACAAATGAAATGTATCAACCATCTAATGAGAACAGAAGGCCCCTTCCAGCTTCCCCCTTCTCCTAAGAGTTGGGAGCACATTCAAGGCTGTTTTTTTAGCCAGCAGCCACTGAGCCATGCTCCTAATTAAGAAAGTAAAATGCCCCAGACCACAACAGTAGAAATCGGAAAGGTTACAGTGAATATAGCTTTTCAGACTCAGTATTTGCCAAGAGAATATTTCAGGGAAAGGAGAAAGTAAGGTTAACGACAGGAAATAATGATAGAAAGACCAACATATTTGAGTAACTTTTCATACAACAATGTGCTTCCTTTAAAATAATGAAATTTTTTGCTTGTTTTTACTTAAACACCAGAACCTATTAACTTGACTTCATCCAGATTTTTAAGCACTTTATTAGAATGTGGTTTAGCATAAATATTAAGGAAGCTGAAAAAAGACCAAATGAATTAAAATGTATTCCTTGAACTTGGCTATATAAAGACACATATTATTACAAAAGTTACTTTGTTTCGATTATGGTAGGGACCTATTTTATCATATCTTCTAGACAATAAAAGCCAATGGTCAAAACAAAGCAAAATAGAAACACATGAGGTCTCTCCAGTTCTTTAGATTTGAGCTCCTTGAGTTTAAAATCCTAGAAGGAAGTAGTGACTACAAACTTTCAGTTACCCACTTGGCTTCCTGGCCAAGTAAAACTTCACTATATGTGCCTTATGACTCCAGCAAGTCTTTCCCACATCTGTTCAAGCTGAGCAGTGCATCTCCACATTTTATACTTACTTCTATGTTATTATTTCATCAGTTTCTGTAGAATGTATACTGAAATAAATCGTGACTACTCTCTAGACTTCAACTCCTCAGAGGACAGGAGCACCTGCACTTAGTAGAAACAATAGTAATAATGGCACCTAGATTCCTAATAAGTTGTATTAAATATTTAACTGTATGTATAATTTTCTTTAAATGTTAAAATTAATAATACTAATCTTTGACTTGGCACAGTGGCTCACACCTGTAATCCTGGCACTTTGAGAGGCTAAGGCAGGAGGAGCGCTTGAGCTCAGGAATTTGAGACCAGTCTGGGCAACAGGATGAAACTCTGTCTCTACAAAAAAAAATACAAAATTAGCCGGGTGTGGTGGCACACATCTGTAGTCCCAGCTGCTTGGAAGGCTGAGGCAGGAGGATTGCTTGAGCACAGGAGGTGGAGGTTGCACTAAGTAGTGATCACACCACTGTATTCCAGCCTGCACAACAGACCCTGAATCAATAATAATAATAATAATAATATGTATTAAGCACTACTGTATGCCAAGACTGGTATTGAATGCCTTCCTGACATTTATTTCATTCATTTTCATGAACCTGAAATAAGCACATTTTTCCCACCTTGAAGCTGAAGAAATGATTGCAGAGCAGCGATACAGCTAGTAAACAGCCAAATGTGAACTCCGAAGGTCTGACCGCATGGTCTGTAGTTTTAGCAATTCACAATAGTGCCTCTTGGAATAAGTCCCTTAACTAATGCTCTCCAAAATTACTGACAAATTTAAAATTCTGGTAAGTAAAAAGTAAAAGTTTGTAGCTATAAATTTTCATAAATATTTGACACTTAGAGAAAGCAGATGTATTTTTAGTCAAATTTGACTGCCTTTATATGAAAGATTATTTCAAGATACTTCACAGTTTGGGAAAGTAAAATGAAAGGAAATCAAGGTAACATACCTGGAGTAGAGCTCCATTTAGACCAGGGAAACCCAGCCTGCCAGGGTCTTCATGCCACACTTGACCAGATGCCCAAAAGGGTCTCTGTGGTGAATTCCCAGATAGGAATCCTCAGTGCTTGGCAGTCAGGTCAAATCATTATTGTATTGGCTCATCAGACAGACTGCCAGGATTGCTGATTTCAGCCACTTAATAACTGCTGCTATGGTGCTGGAGACACTACCTAGGATAGAAGTGATGTGTCTTTGTCATTCCAGGACAAACTCTGAGATAAATAACCTGGAAGACTTCAAACAAAACACAAAACCATCTTATGTGCCATCCTAAAGACCTCAGATCACATACTGTTGTCATCCTAACATCAGAGGGGTTGACTTAGTGCTGTTCTGTGTACTTGACCCATAAATTACAGCTTTTGATTGCTTGTATTGTTCCTCTGAAATATTAGTGGCCTGGGAATAAGTTGTAGTTGCAGAATGATGAGCCAGGTTGGGAAGTTACAACTTTCACAGTGGCACTATGAGTATGATTTGAGGACTTCAGACAACAGAACATTGTTGGTGTCTTTGTTCTCTGACACCACAACTGAGGCATGTGAACTTTCTAGGACAAGGCTTTATGGAACCAAGAACCATGTCATCTGTTCTAATGTTCATACCACTGGATTCTCTGAGAATGCTAGCAGGGTAAACGTGGAAAGAATAGGAAGACTATTAGACTAAATATCTAATAAGAGTTGAGAGATGCTTACATGATTGGAATATGGCAGTCATTGAAAATGAATGGCACAAGAGTACATAGTCAAGTGCAAAGGTGTTGATGATGCTTGCTAAGTGGGGAAAAGGCACATGAAAATCTGCAGACGCCATGATCCCATATTAATAAATGAAAATACTTAAGAGGAGGCAAAGATCCTCATGGTGAACAAGAGGCAAGACCAGATTGCAGCTCCACACAGAGCAGTGTGCAGAGGTTCGCATTATGAATTTTAGCTCCAGGTTGACTGCCAGAACAAACCAACAATCCCAAGAGGACCCACAGACCCTCTGAAGGAAGCAGACTGCTCCCACATGACCTGGGAGACACCCCAATACTGTGAGTGCCCCAACTACATTAGTGGGAAAGGGACACCCTCCTGTCTCGAACACACACCACCACTGGAGAAAATGAAGGTCTGTTTGCAGAAAAAATTTCAGACCTTACCAGGAGCTGAGTCAGTTTAGAGAGCCAAGAGAAATACAGGGGTAGAGAAAGCAGCAGAAAGGCCCTGGGAGCTCACTGTGTCCCCAAGGAGCACATTCCTGCCTGGCATCATGGGGATCCATCTAGAGGGCAACCAGAGGAGCAGGGGGTAAAACTCCACAGAAAGAAAGAAGTCTCTAGCTGAACTGTAACAATCTAAATGGGGTGAGAAGCCTCCTGGCCAGAACTCAGAAAAAGATGCAAATCTGCTATGCAGACTCCACAAGCAGGGGAAGAACCAGGCCCTTTTCTTTCACAGTTGGAAGGCAGGTAGTCTGGGGCAAGTGTTCAAGCCTGGCTTGCCCTCCACCTAGAAACAGACTGGGGACTCTTGAGGGGTCACAGTGGTAGTGAGACTGGCCCTTTCATTTGCATGGGAGCTGGGTGAATCCTGTGACTGCTGGCTGCCCCACTTCCCTGACAACCTGCATGATTCAACAGAGACAGCCATAATCCTTCTAGGTATGCAATTCCAATGACCTGAGAATCTCAGCCCCACCCCCAACAACAGCCACAGCAACACCTGCTCAAGGAGTGTCTGAGTTCATACACGCCTTGCCCTGCCCCCTCCTGATGGTCCTTCCCTACCCACCCTGGTAGCTGAAGACAAAGGGCATATAATCTTGGAGGTTCTAGGGCCCCACCACCGCCAGTTCCTCTCCATACTAAGACAGTTGATGCTGTCTGGAAAGCTCCTGGCAGGAGGCTAACCAGGACAAAAATAGAGCATTAAACCACCAAAGCTAAGAACCCTCATGGAGTCCATTGTACCATCCCCACCATTACCTCCACTGGAACAGGTGCTGATGTCCACTGCTGAGACCATAGACAGTTCACATCACAGGCCTCTGTGCATACAAACCCCAGTACCAGCCCAGAGCCAGGCAGATTTACTGGGTGGCTAGACCCAGAAGAGAGACAACATTCACTGCATTTTGGCTCACAGGAAGCCACATCCTTAGGAAAAGAGGGAGGGTACTACATCAGGGGAACATCCCGTGGGACAAAAGAATCTGAACAACAGCCTTCAACCATAGACCTTCCCTCTGACAGAGCCTTCCCAAACGAGAAGGAACCAGAAAACTAACCCTGGCAATATGACAAAACAAGGCTCTTTAACACCTCTCCCCCACCACCCCCTGCAAAAAAACAAAAACAAAAAAAAAAAAACACTAGTTCACCAGCAATAGATCCAAGCTGAGAAGAAATCTCTGATTTACCTGCAAAAGAATCAGGACATTAGTTATGAAGCTAACCAAGGAGTTACCAGAAAAAGGTAAAGCACAATGCAAGGAAATCAAAAAACAACATAAGAAGTGAAGGGAGAAATATTCAAGGAAATAGATAGCTTAAAGAAAAAACAATCATTCAGTAAACATTGGACACAATTATAAACATGCAAAATGCTCAGGAATGTCTTAGCTATAGAATTGAATACGTAGAAGAAAGAAATTCAGAACTCGAGACAAGGTCTTCGAATTAACCTGATCCAACAAAGTCAAAGAAAAAAGTAAGAAAAACATGAAAAAAGTCTCCAAGAAGCCTGGGGTTATGTTAAACTACCAAACCTAAGAATAATTGGTGTTCCTGAGGAGGAAGAGAATTCTAAAAGCTTGGAAAACATATTTGGGAGAATCATCGAAGAAAACTTACCCAGCCTTGCTAGAAACCTAGACATCCAAATACAAGATGCACAAAGAACCCCTGGGAAATTCATTGCAAAAAGATCATTGCCTAGGCACATTGTTATCAGGTTATCTAAAAAAGACAAAGGAAAGAATGTTAAGAAATGTGAGACAGAAGCACC